CTATCCAACAGCAAAATTTGTCGCGTCCCTCCATATAGGGTTCCTAGTACAGCTGGCACAGCAGCGCCCTCGTGAGTTTGGCGCACCGAGTGCGCCAGTTTGGCAGACTCAGTGCAGTGATGAGAATCCGATGAGGCTACAAAAAATTTCATTTTCATGAAGTTGTATCTCATCTATATCGTTTGTACAACTATGCCCAAGATTCTCAGTCGGCAGTAGCCATTGTATTTCTCGTTCCGGTTCCAATGTTTGTTTATATTTTCAAAATTCGTTCGGCTTTCTGAGTCACGTTTGGCATTTCAAATAGTAATAGGTACGTAATTTTTATAGTGCGACTGAAAAATCGTTATTAGAGGAACTAGCAAGTTTGAAGAAAAAATGTAAGACAAATAAAATTAAAAAATAAATCAATGCTTATTGTAGGTGCTGGAGGTTCGGGCTGTCCATCGTTTTTATATTTAGCTGGTGTAAGTATTGCTCACATAAGTATTTTTAATTACGGTGACATAAAACTCAAAATATTTATCAAAAATTGTGAAAATTAAGTATTTAGAATTAATAAATTGTGTTGTTATTTTCAGTAAATACTCTTTATGCCTCAGCACATCCTGAGTATTCAGCATATTTATATTTAGTAACACCAATATCACTAGTTGCCTTCAACCTTTCGTTTTTTTTGTTTTTCTGGAAGTGGCTAAGCACAGTGAAGGAGTAGACAATCGTACTGAAAGAAGTAATTGGGACATGCTTAAAGCAATTGCCAAAGGGATTGCTTTAAATCCTACACTAGTTATGACTGTTATCGAAACCATTAGAAACCTCATATCCAGTCATAAATTGCGAACTTTGCTCGAAGTAGTTCTAGAAGTCCTTGGAAATGCATTCTCAGCAAGTGCTCTCTTTTAGCTTGAACTCATGATGGTTGGCAAAATTCACAAGCTCAAGGGTGTAGCATTAGTAATACCAGGAATTCTCATTTCTGTTAAACTTCTAGTCCTTCCATTAGTTATTAGAGAATCTGTGATACTACTGAATGCTGGAGAAAATTCCACCGACACATCTGATTTGAGCACTTTTGGTTTTCTCTATAGAACCATTTCTACTGCTCCAGCTTTATTTATTTTCACACTGTATTATAATAATGATATTGATCTGATTGTTTCGCCTATGGTTGTGTGTACTATCCTGTCTGTCCCTTTGATGTTTATATCAGTAAAATTAATAAGTGCTATTAAAGGAGAAGTATCACCTGCTCATGAAAGTAAGCGAACTTAAAAATTTCAAACATATTGTTAGTGAATATCTTATTTCACGCTCATTATGTGAATGCTTTGTAGTTGAAAAGGTTGGTGGAAAAGCTCTACCATGTATAGTTGATGTAAGAAATGAAACTCAAGTTGCCAATGCTGTTAAAAATGCAGTGGATAAATGTAGAGGAATTGATATTCTAGTCAATAATGCATTTCTCTGACTGATACTTTGAATACTGAAATGAAGAGATATGACCTCATGAATCAAACCAATGCAAGAGGAACTTTTCTAGTGTAGGTTGAAGAGTCTTGTTTCTTATATCTTTTATAAAAAATGTAATTTTATAGGTCAAAGCTTTGTCTACCTCATCTGTTGAAAAGTAAAAATCCACACATAATCAATTTAAGTCCACCTCTAAGTATGCATCCAATCTGGTTCAAGAATCATATTGCCTATACAATAGCAAAATTCTAAATGCTTAATTTTCACAATTTTTGAGAAATATTTTGAGTTTTATGTCATCGTAATTAAAAATACTTATGTGAGCAATACTTACACCAGCTAAATATAAAAACGATAGACAGCCCGAACCTCCAGCACCTACAATAAGCACTGATTTATTTTTTAATTTTTTTGTCTTACATTTTTTCTTCAAACTTGCTAGTTCCTCTAATAACGATTTTTCAGTCGCACTATAAAAATTACGTACCTATTACTATTTGAAATGCCAAATGTGTCTCAGAAAGCCGAACGAATTTTGAAAATATAAACAAACATTGGAACCGGAACGAGAAATACAATGGCTGACTGCCGACTGAGAATCTTGGGCATAGTTGTATAGACGATATAGATGAGATACAACTTCATGAAAATGAAATTTTTTGTAGCCTCATCGGATTCTCATCACTGACTCAGTGTGTCAATTTCGCTAGTAGCTAATACGGAAAGAAAAGACGGACTTCATCGACTATGTTTTGGAGCACTCGTCATGAAAAACACTCTATAAAGGCATTGCATGACACTGGTATCGTTTTGAATAATAGAAAACTGTTATAAAAAATAAAAGTTAGTAAGGTCCAGGATAAAACTGATTAAGGGAGTATCAAAGTATGTATTTACAATAAATATCTGACACGTTTATTTTATTATAATAAACAAAACCTTTTTAAAAACTTCAGTTTTCTACCACAAGAATTTGATTGTAGTTAATAAATTAATTAATATAATTAATGTGATTACAATTAATAATTGATTCCATAAAGCTCAGAGGCCAAAACTGTTGACGGAAGCATCAAACTAACTATTGAATACGGTATAGAAACGAAAAAAAAATACTCGTATTTCTTTCTGTTGTCTTTCAAATTGTTTATAAGAAGCTATTTAAGTGTAAAGCCGTTATAAACAAGTGAAAATGTAAAAAAAATTTGTAATTTTGCAAAACGAATTATACCTATCGATTCTATGGAAAAAATTGTGAAGAAAATCTATTTAGCGTTTTTTTATGGGAATTCGTTTTGTTGGTGTAAAATCGTTATAAAAATTTACTGCTAAAAAATATCTGGCTTGGAAATTATTTATAACGATTTTACACTAACAAAACGAATTCTCATAATTTTTTATTTGAAAACTTTTATACATATTTGAATGTGCTGAGAAGTGAGAACACAATACGATGTATAGGGTTTGTAAATAGGTATATAGAGGTCAGTATATAGTATCTGTCGAATTGCCGATGCCTGATTGGCTAAAAGTTAGGTGGTTGGTAACAGAGGTGAATTTTACAAATATTCGAAAAAAAGCGTCACTTCGAAAACTGAGTTGAGCATGTTATTCTAATAAATATTATTGTTTTTTAAATTATTTTCTGATAATATTGACAAATAATTATTTATAATACATTTGATTTGTCAATTTTTTTCCTGCTTTCTATTTCATTATGTAATAATTTTTAAATGTTCAAAAAATCTTGAAAAATTATAATATAATGAGTTTATAAAAAATTTAGAATCGTAAAAGAAACGTGTGAAATAACGAATTGAAATCTTAAATGAATGCTAAAATACTCGTCTTTTATAAAGAATTACATTTATAATCAAGATCATCAAACATTCAATATTACCTAGATTCTTTCACTTTGATTTTAAGAATTTTTGATTCATAAAAAAACAAATAAAAAAAATTTTTTTTTTTAATTTTCATTTATCATAAAAATATTATCTTAGAAGAGTAAATAAATTAATTTACCTTGTACAGAATGTCTTGAAAATTTGTATTCTAGTAAATAGCTCTACATAATAGTTTTATTACTAAGCAATAATCGCTGATTAAATTCTAGCGTAAAATTCTTATCATCTACTGATCAGTATAGTAAACCTTGCATTTGACTTTGTAAGAATTATTACATTACTGAAGAATTGGTTTTGAAAAATACATAAAAAACAGAACTTTAACAAGCGAGCAATCCTTTTAATTTTCATGCCATAATTTACTGTAACATTTTTATGATATAAAATTAGTATATATTGCTAGAAATATACCTAATGCATGCTTAAAATGTTTCACAGCTTACCTTTTGAAATGTCTAGCACACGTTAAAAAAATTTGGCTGTACCACTGAGTGACAACAATAAGTTCATCAACATAGAACAATGTATTTGAGCTATTGTTAATTCCCATCAATAAAGTCTTTTCATAAGATTAGCACATCACATTATTTACACAGGATTGGACTTATGTTATTGTAGATTGAAATAAATATAAATATTTACGTAACATATACTACCAACATTTCTTAACTATCCCACTTTTGAAGATCAATGCAATTTCTAATACGACTGTTGGTGTGCATATATTAATAAAATTCTGAATCTTTAGCAATTAATATTTACTAATACTTTTGTCTAGAATCTAAGAGAGTATTTTTGATTAGCAAGCGTCCGTTTAGCAGTTTAAATGAGGGGAACGCCTGAACCTGAATCGTCTAACTTCGGTTCTTCGGGAATGCAGTTCCGGATTGCGGATTTCGTCGCAAGAAGACCAAGCCACGAGAGGGCGCCAATTAATTAGAATAAATTAACAAGTGAATATATACCATGGAGACTGTGTACAGGAGGCGAGGCAGAGACGATTTATCTAGGCAACTTTCTCTTTTTCTCGGAGGGAATTAGCCGATTTTAGCGCCGCGCTCGGTAGTTAGTGAACCACTAGAAGACTTACAATATGAACGCAGCTTATCGACCATGGAGATGTATACAGTCTCCATGTTATCGACCATGTTATACTGTAGGTGACGAAGATAACCCGCCCTTGCATATCTTTTTCTAAAAAGGAAACCATTAATTTTATAGAAAATTAATACTATTTCACGATGAAAAAGTCTTGCAATATATCGTTTTTGTTATTTTTTTGAAATGGTAGAATACGCTTTTCGATCACTCGATTTTAATAATTTTATAGTTTTTTTTTGTTTTTATATTTCCTTATTAAACAATATAATGTCTAATAATAAATAACATTCGATATACTTAACTTTAATGATAGTTACAATGATTAATGTGGTCATTGTCAACTATCCACGAAATTTTTACCGTGTAAAATAATTATCTTTTTAATAGACTAGAAACAATGAGCGCGCTACGCGCGCTGTAATTTTTTTCTTTCAAATGTATTGTAATAAAACTATATTTAATAAAAAAGATTTATTTAAAAATAATTTAGAAGTATGTACCACATATTATTCAGTCTCGCATTCATTGACATGTTATTGCACGTAAGTACCAAGAATAATTTACAGTCTTCAATTTATTGAAATTTCGATAACTTGCAAATTGTGAATTATTTTTGGTATAGTTTTCATTGTACACGAGATTTTTAACTTTTCTTAACTGTACATAATTTCCTAAGTATATTTTGATAGAATCCCAAGATCGAACTCTGGACATTGCAACATAAAGTTGCCCATGGTTAAATACGTCTCTTCTAAGATCTACAGTCGTTTTATTAAAAGTTTGTCCTTGAGCTTTATTGATTGTCATTGCAAAAGCTAGTTTGATTGGAAATTGTCTTCTCTTAAATGAAAATGGATAATTATTTTCAGAATACAAAGTTATGCGATTTAAAAATTCAACTTCGTTAGTTTTATCGCCTGTTAAAATTTTACATTTTATTAAATGGTTTGATAAGTCGATTATTTGCAATCTCGTTCCATTACACAAACCTTCATTAATACTGATATTTCTGATGAGCATTATAATACAATTTTGCCTTAAGCGTAATTCATGAGGAGGTAAACTTGTTGGATTTAAATTGTGCAAATGTTCTGGTAAAATAAGATCGTCTAATTCACCATTGTTATTAACAACGACATCGATGGCAGTGTATATACGTTCAGAATCTTTATTTAATAAGTTAGTAATTTGTTTATTAATGTCGTCTACGTCAACATTTCTAGCCGATAATATAGCGCATTTACACATATCTTGGAACTTGTTTTCTTTCATTAATATACCAAATGTATCATCAATTATGTTAGAAGTTGGTGGAAGTATACAATGTTCAGGAAGATTTACACAATCATTTTGATCATTCAATGTTCCATTGCCAATATCTAATAAAAATTTGGAAAATTCTATTTCATTTGGTAAAACTCTTATGTTTGCAGTTAGTGAAAATTTGGTGAAGTATTTCCAAACTTTACTGTATACAACGCAAAGGCTTAATATTTCACTTCGAGTTCCTCGAACTTTAATTGGCAACAATTGCTTTAAATCTCCTCCTACTATTATAATTTTTCCTCCAAATGGCAAATTATTGTCCATAAAATTTTGTAAAGTTTTATTTACGATTTTTAATGCGTATCTCGGAGCCATTGAAATTTCATCCCAAATAAATACATCAGTTTCTCTTAATATTTGAGCTTCTTGAGATTGTGCTTTGATATTAGAAGAAGAATCTTGAAACAGAGGTACTGGTAAGCCAAAAGTTTTATGTACAGTCTTTCCATTTGGAAGTAATGTAGCTGCAATGCCGGTAAATGCCATTGAACATATTTTAATGTTCTCTGAAGTTAATTTATAATATATAGTTTCATAAACGTACGTTTTTCCCGATCCTCCTGGACCATCCATGTAAATGCACCTAGGACCTGTATAATGTAAATTGTGAGCCGCTTCGAAAACTATGTCAACTATTTCTTTTTGTTGAGGATTTAATGTATTATAACGTTGCTGTCCTATATTTGCCATTTGTTCTAAAGATATGTCAGTTCTGTTAACATTTGAAGGATTATTTTCGTTCGATTGATCTGGAATCAAAAATTCGATATCGACTGTTTGGTCCATTGTAGGAAAATCAGCTAAACTACGACCTTCGTTGTTAAGTAAGGTATTGATGTAAGAATAGGCTAATCTGTGACTTATACTTTCTTCGTGGTGACGAGAAAAATCTTCTGACATTGGATTTTTGAAATGATTCCACAGCTCTTCTGGATTAAGTGGTTGGCAATGTATGAGAATTCGGACAAATAAATGACGCAGTCTTTGTGGCATCATCCATTTAGTTCCTTCTTCTAGTGCTAGTTTCCATTCTTCGTCATTTTCGATCAGTCCTAACGCTAGGCAAGCTGCGACGAAAGTGGGGTGTACTGTGTTCTCAACGGTTCTCAAGCTTTCAAAACTTACAGCTCCCTTTACATGCAATAATAGCATTCTTAAATGAAATAATTCTAATTGGGTTGGACTGATAGAATACATGCGCCCAATGACATTAAAGTGTTTCTTTCTAGTACTCCATTTACTTATATTGCCATTTTTTTTCTTTATATGTGTAAAATGTTGTGGAATTTCGGAATAGTAATATTGTCTTGCAATTTCATTTTCGAGATTTAGTTTGAAGTAATCTAACAACATACTACTTGCACTATTCAGGGTTTCTAATGTTACAGGGTTATATGAAATAATGATGGATTGATGATTGGGTAAATGTATAGGTAATCTTATAATAGTATGGCTTTTATCTTGTAATGTTTTACTTAATAAACGATAAACTGATTCAACAGGACCAACATATCGAGTATTTATAAATCGGTAAATCTCATCGTGATAAATCGATACACTATTTTCAGAATCTTGAATAACAACTGTTGCAGCATCATGACCTTTGTATATGTATTTATATAAATATTTTACAGCCATAATACTCGATACTGCTTCAACATTTATGTGGCAATCGAACAATTCTGATATATGCGAACAATGAGGTACTATCCACCTATTATCAACTTGATGACCATTAGATCGTTGATGTGTATAGCCTGTGTTTCTTCGACGATAATTAGGAAAACCATTTTCATCCATAGTAATTTCATCTTGAAAACTTTTTGGAAAATTCTTAGAACATTTGTCGTTTTCCATACACCAATCATCACATGGACCATGGACCATGTGTTTTAGAATAATATCATATAATTGTGGATTATTTTCTTTAATTGGAAATTCAGCTGATATAAATTTATCAACAATTTCAGGAGTGGTCCACTTATAACCATTTGCTAATGTTATCAATAAATGCATGTGTGGTAAACCTCGTTTTTGGAATTCTATTACATAAACATAAGCAGCCACTTCACCAAAAAATTTTTTTTTAACAATTAAATCAATTATTCGTTCTTTCTTTAAGTGAAATATTCGTGCTACAATATCTGGTCTATCAGAAGTTTGTTGACCAGGTAAAAGATTTTCTTTAATTTCAGGCCAATTTGGATTTACATGTCATTGTAAGAAAAATATCCGGTTTACCTTTTTCATTTACCAAGGCCATAGCATCTTGATAACATTGCTGCATATAACGTGGTGATCCAGTAAACGACGATGGAAGAATAACGGTTTTACCTACTTGTCCGCCAACTTCTTCAGCTGTATTTTGCATGTAATCACTGAGTCTTTTGTAAGTATCAGCTTTCAATTCTTTTTGATGATCTTTACAATATTGGATTCGGTCTTTTTCAACTTTAACGTAACTATCAACTACCCATTGTTGAAATAATCTACCACCAATAATGAAAGGATTAAATTCATCTAGTCTTATGGCCATTCGATGCCTATAATATGCCATTCTGGAGACGCGTTTGACACTATTAACCCGCAATATATCTTTATGCCATCCTTGAGTACCATATGGGTAAAATAACGGATATATCCAAGGTTCAACATTTGGATTCATTGTGCTGACAAATTTTAAATCTTTTGTACGTTTGTTTCTAAACGTTACATACGATTCTGGAATTTCTCCGTCTGCTGTTGTTGAAAATACAGCAGCAACTTCGTTAACGCGTTGGAAATTGTATCTTCTTCGATCTACATTTGGTTGTAAAGTAAATAACAGCTACAATTCAGGCTCAGTAAGATTATTATTACCTTCTAATGCTTGTTGTCTTTCAATTTCAACTCTCATCATTTCATAAGATTGAGCAAAAATATTATTTTCACGTATAATTGTATCCAAAGATTTTAAAAGTTCAAAATCTAATGTAGAATTGTTACTTAAACGATAATTTAATGCTTCTAATTGATCGACTATAAAAAGTTGTCCGAACGATGGATTTTCTCCTTCATTCGGGTACAATGCTGTATTTATCTGGTAATAAATTTGACCTTGTATTTTGAAACAAAAAGGTCCAGGACGATTAGGTGTAAAATTAAATAAGTTGGCATTTAAAGAAGCAAAAGCTAATGAATTGTTGTAGGATCTAATGTCTTTTATAAATAAGTTTGATTTCGGATTGTTGCCTGTGAATAGTGATTGAAGTTCAGAAGGAAATGTAGGTAAAGGATCTAATAAAGCAGAACCATGGCTACAACAGTCACTGAATGATAAACCTTTATTAGAAATCTTTTCATCTTGAAAATGTTTAGCATTGCAATGTGAACATAGTACATTCATTGGTCCTAAGTAATCTTCGTCTATTCCTGTAGTTCGTACCCTCAATCGGTCTCGAGCTGCTTGACGTCTGTGACATAAATTTTCTCTATCTCGAAGACGTTTAGCTTCTTGAAAAATTCGTTGTTCTTCGGGTGTTCGTCTAACTGCTCTAGCAGGCATAATGATTATAGAAAGTGATGATAATAATAGAAATTTGCAGATGTACGATTGATATTACAGGAAAAATTATATTAAAAAATAATGTTAATTTGTATGAAATCTGAATTTTTTATGGAGAGTAATGTATATAGAAACAAACTTCCAAATTAAAAATATGCTAAACTCATTTATCTTAAAATAATTTGTAATATTTAATAGAATTTAGATTAAAATGAGTATTGAACATATAGATGATTTTTTGAAACTAAAAAACAAATAATTGTTGATGTGTAAATATGATATAAAATTAATATTATATTATATATATTATATACAATATCAATGTTTAATGTGTCGAGAAAAGGTTAAAAGTCAATGATTGTAATGGTTATTGCAGTTAAAAAAATTTTTTATTTTTCAAGTTGTGATAATTTTTATAAATCGTTTGATTAAAAAATACTTTTTTTGTTTGCATATGTTTGTCAATTTATTTTTTTGTTATTGATTTTGTTGTTGCTTTAGTTATTTTCAGTAAGTTTTTGTAAAAGTAAAGTAATTTTGTAAAAGTAAGTTCTTGTAAAAGTAAAGTAATTTTCTAAAAGTAAAGTAATTTTGTAAAAGTAAAGTAAATGTAAGCAGCGTTCCAGGCAATCCTGAAAAAGAAAGAGAAGTAGTTAACAAATACGTAATTAAAATGCTTTTGTAATTGAAACAATTAATTTCACTTCTGAATACAATGTTTTTTTTTTTTTTTTTTTTTTTATGGTGGTAAAAAAAACAGGATAAATCCTCATGGACCATAACGGTTGGAGTGTGACGGCAGTTCACCGAAGCTACCCACCTACACTCTCCCACCCGCCGTGAGACGTGACTCGCTGATCCTCTCAGACCGGGCTGTTTCAAGCGATCTATCAATCGAACGCAAGGAGCCTCCGGGTCGTCGAAGACCAGCTGACCGCCCAAATCCCGCTTCTCTTCAACCGGAGGGTAAACCATCCGGGGAAGAGTAGTAAAGTCCACCTACACCATTCTCCAGCGGGGAACCGCGTAAGCATTACTTCCCGCTGGAAAACCGCGTCAAGTCCTCTCGTTGTCCACGGGTCCTGTATCGTTTCGTTACGTCCGTTTATTCACATTCATCCATTTGTTCATACCATTTACTCTCGCATTCTTCTCGTCTAACACTCGACTTCCAGGCAACCGTCCGCCTTTTTCCCTCGTAGGATAGTCTCAACGTACGTTGCCGTTACCGTCCAGTAGTCTTTGTCTTGTAGCATCTTTGCCACAATGTTGTTGGGCGTGATGTTTCCAAGTGTCGTCTCCAGTCTTTGCCTTTCGTCGTTCCAGTGTGAGCATTTGAAAAATGTATGCTCTGCGTCATCACATTTGTATCCACAGTATTTACAGTCGGCGCTGTTAACTTTGTTTCTGTCAAACAGATATTTCCTGAAGTACCCGTGGCTGGTAAGAAACTGGGTCAGGTAAAAATTCACTTCCCCAAATTGCCTCTCCGTCCACGGTCTCAGGTCGTCAATGAGTCGTCTAGTCCATGCTCCGTTCGTGCTCATCCTCCATTGTTTGTTCCAGTCCGTCATCGTCCTAGTTCTTTCGTTCTGGGCAGCTTCCGTTCTGGTCATGTCGCTGTTTCGTTCGTACACGCGTTTCCGCTCTCTGGCGAGCATGTTTATCGGGATAACCCCCGCCACCACCAGGACAGCCTCAGCCGAGACTGTCCTGTAGGCGCAGGCTATCCTCAGTGCTCCCTGTCTTTGTACGTTTGTCAGTCGTTTGCAGTATTTCTTGACCCCCAACGCGTCGGCCCACACCTCCGCCCCGTAGAGCATGATCGAGTGGGTCGTTGTCATCAGTAGTCGTCTCTTCCATTGTCTCGGTCCAAATGTATTTGCCATAAGACGACTGAGAGCGGAAGTCCTCTCTGCCGCCTTCCTCGCTGTCTGTTGTATGTGCGGCCAGAAGGTCATCTTCGTATCTAGGGTCACCCCCAGATACTCGACCGTCCTACTGGTCCGCAGCGATACCTCTCCGACAGTCATGGGAATCAGGGTATTAATCCTGCTTCCCGTCAGAAGGATGAGTTCTGTCTTGGCCAGGGCAAGGCTAAGTCCGCGTTCAGTCATCCATCTATTGATTCGTAACATCGCGCGGTTCAGAAGCATTTGCGCCAGCTCCGGGGTACGGGCTATTATCACCACAGCCACATCATCGGCGTAGGCAACCAGCTCCACCCCCGGTGGCATCGGTAGTCTTAGTAGTGCGTCGTACAGTATGTTCCAGAAGTCGGGTCCAAGGATTGAACCTTGGGCGACTCCTGCTGTGATTCGTCTGGTCACTGTTCTGTCGGTCGTCTCGTATCGAATCCATCTGTCGTGTAGGTACTCCCTCATCACCCGCATCAGGTATTCGGGAACCCTGAAAGTTTGTAGGGCCTCCAGAATATCCCCCCACCGAGCGGAGTTGAAGGCATTCCTGACATCAAGAGTCGCGAGAAGTACTATTGGCCTCGCTCCGTAGCACACGAGCCTCGTCCGCCGAAAGGCGTCGGTTACTTGTCGAATCGACCCTATAGTTGAGCAGCCCCGTCTGAATCCGTACTGGTTTCCTGCAAGTCCTCCGTTTGCAGTTACCGCGTTCGTCAGTCTTGGTTTCAATAACGCTTCGTAAAGTTTACCCGCTGTGTCTAGTAGACTCAAGGGCCTATAGGAAGACGGACTATTCGGCTCTCCTTTTCCTTTATGCAGGAGAACCAGTCTAGCAGTCTTCCATCGTCTGGGAAAGATGCCCGCACGTAAGACCGCGTTATACTTATCCAGGAGGAGTCCTGGACGTACGCCCACGATCTGCTGGAGGATCTCTCCCGGTATACCGTCTGGTCCGGGTGCCTTACCAGGCTTGATCGTGGACACAGCCTTAATAAGCTCTGCCCCGACAAACTCTGGCACTGTCGTCTCTTGTTCGTTCGTCATTTCTTCCGTCTCTGGTTGGTTTGGGAAAAGTCCATCTACTATTGCTTTCATGGTGTCTTTGTCTTTTGGTTCAGAAGGGCCAAGGGCCCCCAGTTTCTTGGTCACAATCTTGTAGCCAAGTCCCCAGGGGTCCCGCTCCACTTCTTCACACAACTGTCTAGCGCATCGGTTTTTACTGTCCTTTATTTTAGTAGCCAGTCTCTTACGTGCCATCTTGTACGCTGTCGATAGTTCGTCCGCGTCTGGTCTGCTCTTTTTCCGCGCGCGGTTCATCCTCCGGCGGCAGGCAATGCATTCCCCACGGAGGAGGCCAATCTCGTCCGTCCACCAGTACATTGTTCGTTTGTGCGTTCGGCCCTTGCGTCGAGTCATCGTGGCGTCGCACAGTTCCGTTATCAGTTCCATTGTCTTGTCCGTTATCCATTCGGCACGCTCCCGCAGACCAAGCTCTGCCGGGACAGACTCGGCGGGTAACGGTGCCTCCCTTAGCAGTTTGTCAAACAGCTCTATATCTTGTCGTCGTAAGTTCCAATACGTTGAAGTCCTGTCTCTAGTTTGTCCGTTTCGTATGTTCGTCGATTGATCTGTCACCTCAAAGACGATGTGCTGACGATCGCTGGCTGTATAGTCCTCGGTCACCTACCATCCTCTTATCCGCGACGAGATCCTGTCTGACGTCATCGTCACATCGGGTATTGAGTATCCGAAGCCCGGTCGTCTATAGGTCGTTGTCGTCCCTTGGTTGACCACTACCAGATCAAGCCTTGCGGCCATTTCCAGAAGCAGCCTTCCTCGTTTGTCCGTCGTTGTCATACCCCACTCGACCGCTCTCGCGTTCATGTCTCCCGCGACGACAAAGTCACCCGGGAGACCTGTGAGGGCGTCTTCCAGCTTACCGACTTTTTCCTCGTACACTGCCATCGTGCAGTTTGGGGTCAAATATACGCTAACGTAGGTGACGGAATCTACCCTCACCCACGCGTAATCTTCCCCCCTGCCAGACGCTTGTATTCTCCTAGCCGGTTTACCTTTGACCCATATGGCCGACGTACCGAGGGTATTCGAGAACCAGCCGTCCTGTTCTCGTAAGTCCCACAGTTGCTCGCTCAGTATCAGTATGTCTATGTTTCGTTCCTTCGCTGTCTGTGATATAAGCAGCTGGGCTGCCTCGCACCTACGCAGGTTTCCTTGTAAGATTCCTGTCATTGTCGTGTCTGCTTCCGGCACTCCTCCAGCGCTGCCCGGTAGGCCGCGCACGCTCCCGTTCCCGGGACGTGCGCCCTCTCCGTTGCACGCGCCTCGGAACATAGGAAGCACGTCGGCTGTTTGGTGGGGCAGGCTCTCCCGACATGGCCGGTCCCCCCGCACCTCCAACAGCACTGTCCTCTGTCAGGTCCTGTGCAGTCCGTTCGTCTATGTCCGTATCCGAGGCACCGGTAGCACCTCGGGACCGTCAATCTTTCTCTCAGCCGACAGTTGACCCAGCCGATCTTGATTCTGCCCTTCTTGAGCAGTTTGTGGGCCGTGTCTCTGTCTGCTTCGAACACTGCCATACAAACGTCGTGTTTATTCGGTCCAAAAATGTGGATCTTAAAGTCCGCATCTTGTCCTGTTTCTCGTTTCAATGCGTTCTGTACATCATTCGTGTCTGTAACACAGTCGAGGTCTAGTGTCTCTAGCGTCTGTCCGTGTGTCATGTCTCGTACATTACCCTCATTTCCAAGAGTAACCTGGAGTTTCTCCTGGAACTTCCGTCTTGCGTCTGCGTTACAGCGAAAGCGCATGAGGAGTCCTCCGTCCTTAGTCTTCCGATATCCAGAGATACTCACTTTAGAGCCCTCGGGATTAATCTCCGTCTTTAGTCGGCGCAGGGTATCCGCGTACGTTCGTCCGTCGTTTGGCCGTACCAGTATAACGTTGGTCCCCCCCTTCCGGCGGGAACCACCCGCACTGGGCCGGTTCTTGTCCAGTTCGGGCCGTTTGTTCCCGTGGATAGGCGTCGCCGCTGCGGATGTCGAAGCTAGTGGCCTCTCCCTC